TTGCAAATGTTGCGGTTCAGGTTCAAGCACAACTGGGGCACCGCGGAGAAGCTCTACAAGTCCGAGGCCATCGACTCCTTCGGCAACAAGTACCTCCTTGGTGTCTACGAGACCGTGAAGGAGGCCGAGAAGGCCTTCGACGAGTGGAACAAGGAGCACCTTGGAGCTGAGCCTTCTAAGTGCGGATGTGGTGGAATTACAGCACGGCAAAAGTGCAGTGAGGTGTCCCATTTTCAACGTAGTCCCCCTTTGCAGACTTACCCAGCCCAAAGCCTGAACTTCATCAAAGGTACGAGCAAGCCGGCGCTGATGTCAAGGAGTCCCTCAGTGGCTGGGCCAAGCAGCAGGAGGCGGCTCTGGCCGAAGACCAGGACAGGACAAACGAGAGGCTTCGAGTGTGGAGTCTATTCAAGTTGGCGCATGCTCATTGTCCAGTCCCTAACTTGTTGTGTCGATGCCAGCCAGCCCCTTTTCTCCTCCGTGCCAGGACGAGGTGGACCGCCTCCGAAAGGCCCTGGAAGAAGCACGCCGTTGAGGCACCACTCACCCCTCCAAAGCGGCTTTGGCATAACATGGGGCCATGGGCCAAACTGATTGTGAGTGATTTGCAAACGGTGGCACGCGCAGAAAGCTTTGCACTGTCGCCAAGCTTAGCCGCCTCACAACATCAGCCCTGGTGTCTGGAAGACCGATACTACGGGCGGCACATGTGGATCTCTTCGTCCGAAGAACTGCAATTCGTGTGCACTGCACGTACTTGCACTTGAGGCTGCCGGGTGTTTCGCAAGTTTTTTGCAAGCCCGGCCAGTTCTTCACAAAGCATGCGCTCGAGCGCAGATCCAGGTTTTTGCCCAGAGATGTTAAGAAAAGCAGGTTCCTGATCGTTGGAGTGTTTTCTCTTCAGCCCATGTACATCCGGTTTTCCTTGCCAAGGCTTGCGTTGAGCTTCTCTAGCTTGTCTCCATCCGTCAAGTTTCGGAAAGTGTTGCCCAAGTGCCCGGCAACTTCACAGTACCGTTCCTGGCAATCGTCCGGCGCCTTGCAGCAGATGCTTGGCTGAGTGAGCCTAGGATCTGACAGCGGAGCTGTTCCTTGTCCCAGAATCCTCCTCCTCCAAGTGCAAGTGTGCAGAATCCAGGAATGACGCAGTCCCGTTTGTTGCCGACGGTGCTGCTGGCCGCCTCGTCATG